GGGATATGGTAGAAGGTGGTGGAGCAAGAGGGCAGGGAATACTACTCACTGACCTGAAACGTCATTATGCAAGTATGGATTTAAATGAAAATTCCTCAGAGAATGACCGAGTAGTAAAAGCCAGAACGTATCTTATGATACTTTTTGGTACATTTTTATTTCCCGAAAGTACGGGAAATAGTGTAAATTTTATGTACTTACATTTACTAACAAATTTTGAAAAAACTAGAAAATATAGTTGGGGTTCTGCAGTATTAGCCCACCTATACAGTTCTTTGTGCAAAAACGCAGTCAAGGAAAAATGTACATTTTATGGGTGCGCATTTTTACTACAAGCCTGGGGTTGGTGGAGGATGGAGTCCTTAAACCCCATCAACAACAACACTTTTGGTTTCCCGTACGCAACAAAGTAAGTCATTAAGTTATAGCATTTATAACTATTCTGCTCTTTCCAAAATATATGCTAAAAATAACATGTTTCTCATTTCCTTTAGGTACTGCGTGACGGGTATGGATTACGGCAAGAATCCAAGATTCAATGTCGCACTCTACCGGAATCTGTTGGATCACTTAGGCCCAGATGACGTACGTCGTAGCTTTTAACTTTTGTTCATTTTAATTATTTATACATTACTTTTGCGCTAACCTGATTTAAATTTTATCGCAGTTCGTCTGGAGACCATATTTGGGTTTGGGCCATGCTCCAAACCCAGAGGATGCAGCAACTTGGACTGCAAAGACTGCACTCATTCGGTTCAACATTGTGGAGATGCACCACAGCGACCGTGTGAAGATGCAGTTCGGAATGCATCAAGAGATACCAAGTGATCCAACAGATTTGTCCCCATGGCATCTTAAAAGGGTCGACGCCCAGTGGGGTCTTACCAACTGGAAAGACTTTGCTCCGGAATGGTGTAAGATGTGGCAGAGGCGTCACCGCTACGTCTTGCAATTCCCGGTTTTCCTTACTCAAGGTAACATGCGACACACGGATCAATATATGTCGTGGTACAGGTCAATTAGTAACCCAGAAATGCACGTGTCTCATCCGAGGTACTTGGTTGACCCACGCACAAAATGGGCACAACCCTCGATTCCCCATCAACAAACCCAAAACCCATCAACCTCCAACCAACCCCCAAGAAGAAACAGACCCACAAACACCCAACCACATTCCCCACCACAACACAACTACAATCAAATGTCGTACTACCAACCACAATCACCACCAAACTACCAATACCCCGATATGCCTCAAACCCAACACAATACCAACCCCAATACCAGCACACCCACATACCCCAGACACAATTTCAGTCTTCCACATATCCCAATATGGCGCCCTCAACATCCAGCCTTAGCCCTGATATGGGAATGTCGGAAGATTATGACCAAGCCGACCAAACCTACCATCAGCCACCATATCACCAAACCACCCAACATCCACAATACCAAACACCCCAAGATCCATTTCCTTTCTACCCCCCATACTCAGACGACCAATGCTACCGACCAACCATGGAACCCCACCCACCGCCAACACGACCAAACTTTAAGGGTATGGGTAACCGACTGTACCAGAGCGGATCTTCGAGATATGGAGATCTTACTGATTTTATGGATTCGGACCGCATTGACTTTGCTGGGCCATCGACCTTGCCGCAGCAGGAAACGCGACGGCACCCAGCAAGAGAAAGGCAAGGACGGGGATGCGGAACCGAGGGTCATTACCGGGTTCCGGGGGATCACTGATGTATCTTTTTTTTTCCCAGTATTTTTGTATCCATTTTTTTACTGTTCTTTTAATGTAATACAGTTGAATGTAATATTTTTTTTAATAAAAAGTCCATTTTGTTGATCTCTGTCCAATAGGCAACGCACAGGAAAAAAAATAAAAAAAAATTTTTTTGCCCTAAAATTACACTTAGGCGCCATCTCACTTGGCTTAGGGCATGCCCTAAGCACATAGGCGCCAAGTGAGATGGCTCCTCCCTTAAAAAAGGAGGTGCATGCGCCAAGTGAGATGGCTCCTCCTTTGTGGAGCCATCTGAAACATGGTTATTTGCGTAATTTTTTTTGAAACCCGGTTATTTGCGAAATATTATTTTAATACATGGTTATTAATAAAAAAAATTCTCATCTTTTCATTTTCAAAATAATAGATTAGATTAAAATAAAATATAATAGTAAAAAGAATTATAAGAGTGACACATCAACTGTAATAAATATCAAATGAATATAATTGAAATAATATAATAATAAATCACTTTTATTCCTAGAACTAGTAAGAAACTCGTGCTATCGCACGAGTCCTGTCTGAGTTCACATTATACGTCTATTAAATTATTATTTATAAAATATGACTTCATTTTTCAATTTGTTAACATTCACATAATTACAAATATAAGTTAATAATATGCAACAACTTTTAAATATCGATTCGTATTTATAATAAAATGTATAGTCGATTTTCTAAATTCAATTAAAGAAAACAGCGGAATTTTTTTAAAAAAAATGAATATTAAAATTAACAATCTATCGATAGTATCTAATAGATACGTTCACATGTACCCGTGAATCTATCAAAAACCATAAAATCATTTAGTTTTGCATTAAAAAAACTTTCTTTAGTAAATGACTAAAATATTTATTTTAGTAATAAAGTCTACGTAGAAACATCATAAAGTGATTGTTTTTTATGAAATTTAATTTATTGTACAATCATAAATCATAATATGATTTAGTTTTCAATTCAATAATAATGATTTAATATATTGGTGATTGTCGAATTTTTTTAATTTCAATTTTAAGTGTAATGTAATTATTTTTTAAATTATCCTAATTTAAAGAAGATATGATTAAAGAAATGTGTAAAATTAATTTATATTTTAAATTTAATTTTCAATCAAAAATATAATATTAATTTAAATAATATTATACTTAAAAATATATATATTTGGGCTCATGTTATACTTTAATACCATACTTTAAAAAAACATATATTTAATAAAAAAACAATCTTAAAATACACATTCAAAATGTCATCAAATTCCATATTTGGAAGAGACTAATAATATTTATAGAAAATTATAATTAATTATTTATTTTCATTATATTTATAAGAAGAATATAAATTTTCTCTTTCAAAAAATAAGTTAGTAATAAAAATAAAAGAATTTTAATTGATGAGAATTGGAACAATTTCTTAGAGCATGATTATCGGTGCATGTATGCCGTTTCTACACAATTTTTTAAGTTATAATGTCAGAATAAAATGGGTATTTGAGAGAAAAAAACATTCTTTCATTTGCAAGCGTTGGTTTATGTGGGAACGCTTCTAGACTCTCTTTCTATATAAGTAATATTAAAATATTACATTTCAGTTGAAAATAGTTATATGAGTGGATTTTGTGGAGTATAGTGGGACCCATTTTAGATTTTTTGATGAGTTAGATGGATATTCGAGAATTGTAAATGAGTTGTTTAAAAAATTAAGAAATGTGAAATAATATAAAAAATTATGTGGGTCCCATTTAAAGAACCCAAATGAATATAATGGATGTAGATGCTCTTAGGTGAGAAAATAATGGTAATTAAAACAGTTTCTTTTTGGAGAAGGGAAATTATTGGTATAGCAGTTACAACTGCATTTTTTTTGTAAGAAACAATGAATTAAGTAGGGTTTAATGATCATGTATTAAAAGTGTAAAAAAATTTTACCCTATCATCCAATAAGATTATATCATTCTAGTATGTCATATAATTTTTTTAAAATTTTCAGTCTGACTTGTGCCGATGCATGATTATCATTGATTAATAGTGTAAAAATAATTTACACTATCAATACATCATCTCTTTTCTCTAAAAAATAAAACTAAAATTAGAAATATTTAAATTTAAAAATATATAAACCGATGGGCATCAAATAAAAATTGACATCCTTGAAGTCAATTCATTTTAGCAACTTTAACTTCAATTTCTTTTTCAAAATTTGCATTGCATGCGTCCACTTATATATAATAGGATGTGAAGAATAAAGGATATGTGAAGAATAGAGGCTCAAAAAAATTAATAATAAAATTGTTGAGCTTCTCTATAAAATGAAGTTTTTCTCTAAAAAAAAACAAATAACTAAATTGTTGAGCTTCTCTATGAAATGAAGGTTTTCTATAAATTATTGATAATACATTATTGTAAAAGTTTGATTTAGTATAGTATTTATTATATTATCATTTTTCAAAAAGTATGATTTCAATTTAAAATTTTATGTAATATGTTAATGTCAGTAATTTATTATATATCACTTTTCAAAAAATATGATTTCAATTTCCAGCGATTAATATCACAAAAAAACCCAATAAATTTTTTATTCCCTTTTATATTATCATTTTTCTATAATAATATGTTAATGTTAGTAAATTATTACATATCATCTTTATATTTATTAGAATTCATTAAACACGTAGAGTTATATGTTAATATACACTATCCACCATTTGTCACTCCCTTTTATATTATCATTTTCTATGATAATAGGTTAATGTCAACAAATTGTTATATATATATATATATATATATATATATATATATATATATATATATATATATATATATATATATATATATATATATATATATATATATATATATATATATATATATATATATATATATCTTTTTATTTAATAAAAAGTCAATGTAGCAAATCTGTAGGCAGGGAATTAGAGTTCATTGAACTATTGCTCCCAAAATATAATTATAAACTTAAATTAGGAGAAAAAGATTATTAATTTATATCCAATATAAAATTAAATGCAGCGGAGAGAATTAGAGATCTATTAATAGCTATTTTAATTAAATAAATCAAAATGACATTAGAAGTCAGTACAACAAAACCTGTCAAGATCTTTCGTAATTTCTGCACCTCCATGTTTTATTACTTCTGACATTTAAAGTGAGGACAAATTCAAAAGATGCATTATCAACCAGTAAAAGGTTAATTACAACAACCTTCTCTGGTATGTGGTGTTGCTACAAGTGAAATAATCATTCCCTTCTGCATCAATGTCTACATCATAAGTAAATCTCAACGTCACTCCTCCTACCTCAGTTGCAAGAGATGTTGCTAAACCACCTTGAGGCCCTATCTTCATCAACCTAAAATATGCATCAACAATGTATAAATCACCAGTTTTCTTGTCAAATCTTAGTCCCAAAGGTCTTCCACATATGTGCTTAGTCTCAACATAGCTAAGTGGTGAGACAGATACCTTAAGATTGCATAGTTCTGACCTAATTGTTTTCTTCAGACCCTACCTTCAGTCATAATTATTTTCTTCATTTGCTAGCAATTTGAAAGCGCTACAACAACATAGACATTTTATCAAACAATTAGTAGGCTATTTTACACTAATTAATTTGAGGCAGCCTAATTTTACTTACATTTATATTTCAATAAAATAATCGAAACAATAAAACATCAGAGTTGCATCTCTTTTTAGAGACAAAAGATCAAACTTTCATCTCTTTGCAACAACAAATTTTAAACCATGAATCAAAATAAAACATCAAGGATAAGGAGAGCTTTATCGCGGATTTGACGCTGAAATGCAGAAAAAATTACAACAAGAAACAACAACCAACAGTTATTCAAAGATGATACGATTAAAGATTGAAACCAAAAAATTACAACATAAACAAAATCTGTAAATTTTCGCAGCAACAAACAGCATATAAATCAAATGCAAATTCACCAGATCTGATAATCGAACACTTGCCTAAGAACTTAGAAGATGATGAATGAGTAGATATAATACTCTGAAACTCGAAATTGAAATGGAACCCTAAAAGTTTACGACAAAGTGAAGAAAAGAGAAATGAGAAGTGATTTTGCAGTAGATGAAGAAATAATTATGCAGCTTTTTTTTAAGCCGACGGTGAAGGTCAATGAGAAAGATTCAGCAGTATAAGAACCAGAGAGAGAAAGAGATTTTCCGAATTGGTGTATTACGACTTTGTACATCTCTTATGTAGTACTTGCACTTGGGAAAATGGAATAATACAAAAAGATATGGGAAGTTGTGTTTGTGTCTCTCCATGTTCTAAATAGTGTGCATGAACGTGTATTTAAGTTTTCCAAAGGTTCCAATGTATCTATTAATATGGTTAGCTTTTAATGATAATTAAGTTATAAAAAATGGAATTAAAAAAAAAATATAATACAACAATAAGTCTGATGATTATAATAGATTATAATTATTTTTATTAATATTTTTTATGAAATTATATTTAAAAATTAATTATTAAAACAATATTTTAGGGCTTGAACTTTTCAGCTAGCCCATTAATATTCATTGTGATGTATGAAAGAGTTATATAAACTCATATATTCAGAGAATATTTTTCAATGTGAGACTTAAAACCATATCACCAATACTGCTTTGATTGTACTGCTACTCTTTCATTTTCAACTTGTAGTATAATCTATGATAACAATAGATGTTGGTATTGCATTTATTCAAAAAACAATCAACATAAGAAATATGTTAGTTGCAAACTCATAACACCAAATCATTACCTGAGACTTAGAAAAGATAAGATAGAAATTGAAAACCAACTTCTCAAAAACATGTCTCGCTACTATTCACGTAAAATCTCTTCTTCATTACCTCAAAACACCACCTTCCATCACACCATAATGGCATCCTTTCCATTTTTTTCAACCTTAAAACTCCAATACTTTCATGCACTCTTCTTCTTCATAATAAACTCCACCATATAAACAACATATCTCACCACTTCACCCAACTCAAACCTCCTCATTAACATCATTGTTTCTAACCACAAAATCACCGATCTAACTCACCTACACACATTGAACAATAAAAGCATGGTTTATTTTCAGTTTTAGAGATTGCCTCCAAATTCATATTCAATTAAATCACCAAGCGTTCAATCTAAACCAAAAACAATAAATCAACCACAAGAACAACACATAATCATATCCATAAATCGAACAAATCGAAACTAAAAAATAAAAGAAAAAAAGGGAAAATTGTGAACGGGAGGAGGAGAAGACCGACCATAGTTATGGAGATGATGGTTGAAGGGGTGGCACTTCTTGTCATCGACGAAGAGTTTAAGTGTGGTTGGAGTTCACAGTCACAGTGATGATGATGAATTTGATCCGTTGGCAGCAACAACAATCAGGTTTACACAGTGGTTTTTTTCTTCTTCGGTGATGGCGGCAGAATAAAACTCGACGGTTCCCAGTGGTGAATTTTGAGTGATGATTTTTTGTGTTGTTTCTCTTCTTATCTTTCAACTCTGGTTTCTTGCTTTAGATCTGAATTGTAATGCTTTGAAATTGCTATGATTGTTGTTACAGTGAGAACAAAGAAGGTGAAATAGATGAAGGAGTTGAGATGTGATGCATGGTGGTTGTGTTTTATGGGTGTAGATCCATTCATATAAAAAAAGGGAGTGAGGTGTGAGGAGAGGTTATGAAAGTGTGGAATCAGTTTGGAAAGGGAAGATTTGGTTTTGTTGAGAGGTTTCTTAGATCGGTTTTGGTGGAATGTTACTTCGAAGAAGATGATGTAGTAAAGTGGTTTATATGTGGATCTATAAAAAAAGACAGAAAAGTGATGAGAGAGAGGAAGTGAGAGAGATAGAGAGAAAGTTATGGTCTGATTTCTGGAAATGAGAGAGAGGAAGTTATGGAGATAGAGAGAAAGTGGTGGTTTCTGTCAATGTTAGCAGGACGTTGTTGTTGTCTTAGCCGAAGTTGTGGTCTCGCAGTGGTGGGGAGTTTCAAATTGTGGAAAGATATGAGGAGAAGGCGGTGAAAGTGGTTTTTGATGTGGATGTGATTTAGAGAAGAGGAAGAGGTGAAACAACTTATTTCTTAGTCTTTCTCAAATGTGGTTTGAATTGGGAATAAACATTAACTATTAATAGATCAACATTAATTAAAACTAATTTGACATAATCTGAATTAAAAAAAAAATTCAACAAATATTTTGGTGATGCCACATCACCTGTATTAAATGCCAAAACAACGTGGTTGTAGAATTTTACCAATAGTCATATTTATACCTGAAATATAAATAATTTTAGTTATTTAATTAAAGGGTTAGAATTATAATAAATCACTACTCTAAAATTTATATATTTATAATAGATCATAAAAATTATAACTTAGAATCAAAAAATTATATCTAATATTTCTATATACTTTATATTTTATATATTTATAATAGATGATAAATCGAACTATTTTGAAATTTTAAAATATGTAACATACTTATATAAGAATCTAATTAGCAGTTCTCTTATTTTGTGTCCAAGTTATCTAAACCCCACAAACACTTCAAAAGTACACAAAGAAAAACATTTTTTTTCTAGTTACCCTCTCTTATGCTCAATCTCATCTTTTTTTTTTTTTGGGAACATGCTAAATCTCATCTTTATCATTTTTATTTTTCTTTAGCTTTTATTTGCGTTTCATATTGCGAATCTCTTTTTACATTTTTCAGTTGTTCTTAGTTTTATTTTATCTTATATAACTAAATCATAGTTAGAGCTTATAGTGAATCTCATTGAATAAATTACTCTAATGCAATTGTATGATTCCTTACTTTTCAATTACATTTGTCATATGCTTAACCTCCATAAATTATGACCAGAAAATTAATTATGTTTTCGCAGCTAAAATACCTCTAGTATTACTAATCAATACTCGATATAATTATATTTCCATTCAAAAGAAAATGAAAAAACAACATAGTGTATTCATTCATCCAATTATAATAAACATAACAGAGACTAGAGGAAATCTTATCAAAATACACCATAAGTACAAGTTTATAGATCTGTTCTTTACTTTATAATAAAGAAAATGAGAGAAAAAAATTTCCCTATTGCAGTATCTAAGTTAGAATACCTATATAGAGTAAAATGAAATTAAAATTAAACAGAATACAAGAACTAAAAAGACTCATTGTAAGCTTTATTTAAACACATCAATCTTCACCCTAATCATAAGCTTCAGAAGCATGAACTTGCAGATAACTTCGCGATACAGGATTAGCAGAAATACAATGACAGAGTAAAAATATTTCAAATATCAATCCCTTTTCATCATTGGCTACAAATCATGCATCAAATTTACTATCCTTTATTCTTCCATGTTTAAGAGAAACCTCAAGATTGCTTAAGCATGTATTCCAATCAGGCAATAGATGTTGGTTAAATTCAAATCAGTTTTGGGTAAATCAAAAGTCAGATGATTCCTTTAGACAGTGAAAAATTTACTCCCTAGAGACCTAGACATAATTATTGGTGTAACTCTTAATATTCTATCACGTGACTCTATATAAATCACATTGTATCTCATTGTAAAAGTTAGTTGGACAAAATTTATAAAGAAAAGAAAGTTCACAGTCTACTCTCATTCTCTTCATACTTCTTCAAATTGGTATCAGAGCGCATGACAAATATGATGGGTCAGATGCCACTGCCACGACTTTCGAAGTCGAACTATGAAAACTGGAGTATCCAGATGAAGGCGCTATTGGGATCGTTAGATGCATGGGAAGTGACTAACGATGGGTTTGAAGAACCATCAAATACGACGACATACACAGCTGCTCAGAACAAGGCATTGAAAGAAACGCGAGCAAGGGACAAAACAACATTGTACATGTTGTTCAGAGCAGTTGATGAATCAGCCTTCGAAAAGATTGCTGGTTCGACTACGTCGAAGGAGGCGTGGGACACACTAGAAAAGACCTTCAGAGGAGCAGACAGAGTCAAGCAAGTTCGCTTGCAAACTCTTCGAGGAGAAATGGAGAGAATGAAGATGAAGGAGACATAGTCCGTATCAGACTACATTACTCATGTGCAGACGGTGGCAAATCAACTCAATCGAAATGGAGAAGCAACGTCTGATGCTCGTATTGTCGAAAAGATTATGAGATCTTTGACAAACAAGTTTGAAAACATAGTATGCGCAATAGAAGAGGCGAATGACCTTTCAACAATTACCGTCGAAGAAGTCGCTGGTTTGCTTGAGGCACATGAACAGCGCAAAATAAAGAAGAAGGAGGAGACATTTGAGGATGCAGAACCCAACAGAGATGAAAAGTCACTTTTCTCTCAAAATTGGCGTGGGAGAGGACATGGTCGTGGAGGACGTAATGGTGGTCGAAGTTACCAAAATAACAACTTCGACAGAGGACAATCAAGCCAACAAAACTGGCGTGGCAGAGGACGTGGCCAGAGAGGTCGTAGATCGAATTACAACAACATCGAATGTTACAAATGCAACAAACAAGGGCACTATGCAAAAGATTGCAACTTCTACTGTTGCTACAAATGTGGTAAAATGGGACATCTTGCAAAAGACTGTCGATCCAGAAGAAAGGTAGAAGAAATAACAAACCTTGCCCTAGAAACAGAATCGAATGAAGGATTTCTCTTAATGACTCAAAAGGAAGCAGAAACAGAAAATGGCACTATGTGGTACCTGGACTCAGGAGCAAGCAACCATATGTATGGTTATAAGCATTTCTTCAAAGACATAAAGAAAATCGAAGACGGTCATGATTCGTTTGGAGATGCGTCGAAATCAAGAGTCGAAGGAAAGGGAACAATTTATTTCTTGCAGAAGAATGATTTGATAGGATCAATCTAAGATGTGTACTATGTACCAAACCTCAAAGCAAATATTTTGAGTCTGGAACAACTCACTGAAAAGGGTTATTCGATTCTCATGGAAGACCGAGGCCTACATTTAAAAAACAAGTCAGGACATCTGGTTGCTCAAGTCGAAATGGGGAGGAATCGAATGTATAAGTTGAATTTGAGAAGCATTCGAGAAAAGTGTTTGCATGTCAATATCAAAGACCAAGCATCCCTGTGGCATCTTTGATTTGGTCATCTACACCAGGCTGGACTAAGGAGGTTAGCAAAGAAAAATATGGTGCATGGACTTCCAGATGTAGAATTCGAAGGAAAATTCTGTGAAGAATGTGTGTTTGGCAAACAGACGAAAACCTCATTCCCAAGGAAGGCAGAATATCAGGCCAAACAAATTCTGGAATTGATCCACACTGACATGTGTGGACCAATTACCCCATAATCCTTCAGTGACAAAAGGTACTTCATATCCTTCATTGATGATTTTTCAAGGAAAACTTGAGTTTATTTTCTGAAAGAAAAGTCTGAAGCCTTCGAAGTATTCGAGAAGTTTAAGATAATGGTTGAAAAAGCAACAGACAAACACATCAAAGCCCTTCGATCAGACAACGGTGGGGAATATACTTCGACAACCTTTATGAAATACTGTGAAGAGCAAGGCATAAGAAGATTTCTGACTGTAGCTTACTCACCCCAACAAAATGGTGTAGCGGAAAGGAAGAATCGAACAGTCCTTCACATGGTTCGATCAATGCTGAAGAGAAAAACCATGTCGAAGGAGTTTTGGGAAGAAGTTGTACAGTGTGAAATCTACATTCAAAATAGATGTCCACATTCGAAGCTGAGATATTTAACACCTCAAGAAGCTTGGAGTGGTCGAAAGCCAACTGTGTCTCACTTCAAAGTGTTTGGAAGTGTGGCTTATGCACATGTGCCTGATCAAAGATGAACAAAGTTGGAAGACAAGAGTCAGAAATACATACTCAT